TCCCATCCCATCCCATCCCATCCCATCCCATCCCTCTGAGCCATTTCTCCAGCATTGTCTTCCCTGAGGCTGCCCCGTGCCAGGGGACAGCCCAAATCTGGGGGTATCACAAGCGCTGGCGTTAAGAGGAAGGTCCCTGTCTCGGGCAGGTGGCAATCAGGTCACAGCAAGTGGCACAGCTTTGTTCAGCTCCTGCTCGGTGGGTGCCTCCAGCCCCGTGGTGCCGCCTGATGTGGTTATCGCGGGTACAGCCAGGAACCGGCGTACTTAGAAAGAGCTCTAATGTGCTTGTGAGCTGTGAGAGGATTAAAGCCTTCGCCACGTTCCTTCTCAGGGAACAAAGACATTTTCCGAACCTCTGTTGACCCTCAGCTTCCTTGAGACCCTCTTGACTTCCCTGGTCAGGAGCCCAGTCCTTTCCTCTGGTGGGTGGGGGACGGGAGCCCTGCCCTTGTGCGCCGCGGCGTCCTGCCCGGCCGGGGCGTGCTGCGCTCTGGCACACGAGCTGCCTCCGGGACCGCTGCGGCGGGATGGGGTTTGCTGCTCTGCTGTGGGCCGGGGGCTCGTCCGTGCCACGCTGCGAGTTGGAGGGGCTTTGGGGCTGAGGAGGGGAAGCAGGGTGGCAGAGAGTGGGGCCAGCGTGAAAACCACGGGTGTGGCTCCATTTCCTGGAGAGAGGTGAACTCCATCAGCATAAAGATGGTGCAAATGCACCAGAGAAATGCAAAAAAGGAAGAAAACGTTGCAGTTTGCTCTTCTGGAAAGCGTCGGGATGTTTGTAAAGCGGCCGGTACTTTGCCGTGCTGCGGTGGCCGTGGGGTGGCCACGCTGGTGTGGGACAGAGGGGTGGCATCCCCCGTCCCCCTCCCTGGGTGGGGGCTGAGGTGCGTGTGACCCCATGCTCACCCCCCCTTGCGCTCCCCACAGATCCTGGTGGATTTGCAGGCTGAGAGGAAGCACCAGGCACTGCAGTACGAGAATGTCGTGGCCCACGAGGGCAGCTCCATCCTGCGAGACCTGGTGCTGAGCCCCGACCGCCAGCACATCTACGCTATGACCGAGAAGCAGGTAAGGGGAGGGGATAAGGGGAGGGGACGGCAGCCCCTCTGCTCTCCTGGCTTGGCAGCCCGCGTTGCCACCCCAGCCTCCAGTCCTGTGCGCTGGGAAGCCTTTCGAGCTGCTCCACGGCTTCTGCTGCCTGGGATAGGGGCTGCCAGGGGCTGCGTGTCCGAGGGGACCAGTGGCAGCAACTCACTGTTCCTCTGCCCCAAGTCAGTTATTGTTAGCAGCGGCTGCTTGAAATCCCCGTGGTCCCTGGGGCCAAGGGCTTCCTGACCCTTCCTTGCGGTGAGGGGATGGCCATCACCCCCTCCCTGCTCTGGCCATCCCCTCCTGAGCAGGGTTTTTGCAGGTTAGCAGAAGCTCCTTGCTCCAAATGTCTTTTTCTCCTCTGGGGCAGCAGCTTTTGCAACTCGGGGCTGAGGGGACATGGGGCTGGTGTGTCCCCAGGCCCTTTGGTCCCTGCCTCTGCTCACACTGAGCCAACCAGACGTACAGACCTGATCCAGATCTGGCGCTGCCGTCCAGGCACTGCGCTCAGGGCTCACCGTGGGGAGTTTTCATTGTCTTTGGGGGTGTTTGCGTGATCCTCGATGTGTGGGAGAGCTTGCTGGTGTGAATTCATCCATCCATGGGCTGTGCTGGAGCAGGTGAAGCAGGTCCATGCCAGTGGTGGCACTTTCTGGAGCCGGGGCCGGCGGGGCCACATGCTGTGCCCCGTGGGGTGAGGCAGGGCGCCTGTGCTGGGGCGCAGCGTGCCTGTGTCTCGCAGCCTCTCCGCTCCTCTGCCTGGCAGAGGTGTGTGTGAGCGGGACTGCCGCAGAGCTCGGGGCCTCCCGGGTCTCCTGGCCGCCAGCCCCGGGGCTTGCAAGGGGGAAGGATGCTGGAGTAGGGCCGTGGGTTTGTCTAGACAGCCCCATGGGGACAGCAGAGCCCTTTCCCCCCTCCTCCCGGTGCCTGTCTCTGGTTTCTGCTCTGCTGCAGGAAACCTGTGGCTTTCCAGGCGAGGCAGAAACTGCCTTTAGCTTCCTCCATGCAGCTGTCCTGGGCTGTGTTTCTGTCCCTGGCCCTGTTTCTGTCCCAGGGCTGGCTTAGCTAAGCCTCCCCTCAGTGGGGCAGATGTTGGACACGTGGATGCTGGGTTATGCTGACCTGGATGGTGGATCTCCCCTACGGGCCATCACAGTGGCCTGTGCGGGGTCTGCCTTGGGGGGGGACACCTGCTGCCGACCCCCTTGCCACTGCCCATCTGGAACAAAGTCAGGGGACAAACAACGAGGAACGCTGCCAGTATCCTCATTGGAATGCAAACTGGAGGGTACTGGCTGGCCAGCATTAGCCCTGTAGGCGTCTTGCGGAGCCCATGCTCTGCCCCCCTGGGCTGGGAGGAGGGATAACACCCCGGGTTTAGCCTTCAGTAGAGAAGTTTGCAGATTTTAATTAACGAGTGAGTCCTGCCCTGTGGGAGCAGTGGGGAAACTGAGGCAGGAGCGCAGCTAGGCGCGGGCAGCTCCTCATGGCAGGCAAGCAGGCAGCTCCCTGCACCCCCTCCCCGTCCCCCCCTCTTCTCCTCCCCTCTCCTTAATAAAACCCACTCGCTTCCCTACTACGGCTCAGTGTTATCAGAGTGCTGGTGGAAAGTAATTAAATGAACAGTTGTAACAGAGCTCGAAGGGCTCGGAGAATGAGGGGATTTTAATCAAATCTGGAGGAGCAATTAATAAAGGATGGGTAACCCCTTCGGAGCAGGGCTGTGGCAACTCCAGGGTGCCTGGCTGGTGCTGGGAGCCAGCACAGCCCTGTCCTGCAGCCCTGCAAGGGGCTTGGTTGGGGTAAAAGCCTCCCCTGGCATGGAAGTGTTGCCTGCAAATGTGCTGCCGCCATCACGGTGGGGTTCAGCCTGCTCCTCACCTCTCTGATTAATGGCGTGGGAGCCGTGGGCCAGGGTGAGCCCCATCTCTGGCAGGGTCTAGGCATGGACACAGCGGGGAAACACACAGCCCGACCCCCCTCCCTCCCTGCCTGTTCCCCGCAGGTGACGCGGGTGCCGGTGGAGAGCTGCGAGCAGTACGAGAGCTGCGAGCTGTGCCTGGGCTCCCGGGACCCCCACTGCGGCTGGTGCGTCCTCCACAACATGTAAGTCCCACAAACCGTCTCCGTCCCCAGCGCTGATCTCCGTGGGGACGTGCCTCCTGGGGATGGAGCAGTCCGAGGGGTCTGTTGCCCCTTCCCGCAGCACCCAGGCGTGAGGCAGGACCCCTCTGGTCCTGCCCACAGGCTCCTGGGTTCGGCCTCTTTGTGCCAACGAGCTGAACATTAAAGACCCCCAGGGCTGGCACCAGGGGAAGGCAGAGCTGCCGTATGGGCCTCAGGCACCCAAGGCCTCTGGCTGGGCATCGCGGCCCTCCAGGGGGTCTGTGTGCCCTGCTCAGCCCGGGGCTCTCCTCACCGTGGTGGTTTCGCCCCCTCCAGATGCTCGCGCAAGGACCGGTGTGAGCGGGCGGACGAGCCCCAGCGTTTCGCCTCCGACCTGCGGCAGTGCGTCCAGCTCACCGTCCAGCCCAGGAACATCTCGGTCACCATGTCCGAGGTCCCAGTAAGTCACCTCTGCTGCCCGCAGACCCCCCCCCACCCCCAGCCACCTCCTGACCTTCGGGGAGCCACGGCAATTAAAAATAACTAACGAGGATACGACAGATAGGGAGAAAGGGGAAGAAGAGGTCCGAGACAAATAAAACACAGCGGGGCATTGATGAGGGCTGGCCTATTGATGGAGATAATAAGCCAGTTGATGATTATTCAGAAAAGACATAACCAAGCAATAAATATTTCTCCATAACACAAACACCAACATCAGAGATGCCATTTGTAGGCCAGCGATCTGTCTAGCTCAATAGCCTGTCTCTGACCCTGGCCTTTAGTAGATATTTTGGGATGAGACTCTGATGCACAACTCATTGCGCTCTCTGTGCAGACAGAAAGGATGATGGACTTCCCCGAAGTATTTTCCAGGCCATTAGCACTGTGAAGAGAATACAAAACAGCGTGTACTAGCAATAAAGTTTTGAAAAGTGCCATGTCTGAATATCTGGCACTCGGGAGTCCTGAAAGAGTCGGCCAAGATGTTCTGTGGCCTGCGGATATTTGTAATAATACGGCTTCGTAATAAGTAAGTGAATGTTGAGAAAAACCCCAGAAACAGAAAAGGTGTTCACTTTTTTGCCCAGCTGCAGAAAGGACCAAATGGTCAGAGACTGCTTAGTTTGATGTCAGATTTAGAAAAACCAAAGTAAAAAAAAACCACTGGTGCAGGATACAACTGATAAAGATTTAAGAATGGGAATATAATTAATGCCAGTCAACATGGTTTTATGTCGAACAAACCACATTTTGTTCTTTGATGAAATTATGACTTGAATTAGAAGAGGGACTGTGGGGATGTGATGTCTTTAGGCTTCTACAAGGCATTTGACTTGGTACAACACAATGTTCTGATTAAAAATTAGCATTATACAATATTGATAAAGCACGCGTTAAGTGGATTAAGAACTGGCTCCGTGACAGATCTCAAAAAGTCCTCGTCAGAGGGGAGTTGTCACCGGATGGAAATGGTTTGGAAAGCGCTTCTGCAGGGGCTCGTGTTGTCGTGGTACCACAGAGATAAATGCGAGATGGCTGCGGGTGGGACCTGCTGGGACCCGAGGGGTGCCGTGGCCTGAGATTTCCTTCAGAGCAGCTGGGTTTGGGTAGGTCTGGTTTAGCAAAAAATTGGGGTTTGGTATTGCCAAGTCTGAAGTTAGACACGGAGGCAGAAGACAGTGTCCTGGGAGGTGGTGTCGGGCTGAGCCCTGGCCGCGGGGCTCCTGGGGCAGTTCTCCCCTCCCTGGGGGTTATATCGCCCTGCCCGGCGCAGGCTGCTGCATGAGCTCTGGTGTCGGGGACGCTGCGTCGGGCTGGAGTCCAGCTCTTAAAGGGAGAGGCTGAAAACCTCCCGTAAACATCATGTAAATGAGTTGAAGGCTGGAGAAAATGCCTTGCAGTGAGAGACTTCCAGAGCTCAATCTGCTTAGCTTATCAAAAAGAAGATTAAGAGGTGACTTGATTACAGAGTATAAGTGCCTTTACAAGGAGCAAATATCAGGGACTAAAGGGCTTTTTAATCTATCAAGGAAAGGCATAACAAGAACTAATGGCTGGAAGCTGTGAAAAATTCAAATTAGAAATAAGGCAAGCGTTTTGTAAAGTGAGAACTGCTGACCCTGGGAATGACTTTGTGAAAGAAGAGGTGGATTCCTCCCCTCCCCAGCTCTGCCAGAGCGGGCGCTTTTCCGCGAAACCCTTCAGCCCTGACGCTGCGTTGGGTCTGTTGAGAGGTGAGGCGTAATGGCTTGTGGTATGGCCAGGGCAGAGGGCAGGAGGCTCTGACTCATTCCATCTTTTAACCCCTTTAAATCCACGCTCCTTGCTTGAGCAGGGAGGCCCACGGACAGGACTCGCTTGCAAGAGCCCAGAGCGCGTTTCCCCACCGCGTGTGGGTGGCAGAGGGGGGATTGCACCCGTGGTCTTTTCTGTTGGCTACACTTACACCTAGCAGACACGGAGGAGTCTTTTTCGCTAGTTTTCGGTGTTGATGCTCTCGCCTCTCCTCCCCAGCTGGTCCTGCAGGCCTGGAATGTCCCAGACCTCTCGGCAGGAGTGAACTGCTCCTTTGAAGACTTCACTGAGTCCGAGAGCCGCATCGAAGATGGGAAGATCTACTGCAGCTCTCCCTCGGCCAAGGATGTCATCCCCATCACCCGGGGCCGCGGTGAGCTTGTGCTGTGGGGTGCGAGGAAAGCCCAAGACAAACTTGGTCCCACTTGTTGCCCCACAGGCAGATGTGGAGAACAATCCTCCCGTGACCCCGAGCAGGGTCGGAGTTGGGTTCTCGGGGTGCAGGAGGAGAAGGACATTACTGCTCATGGGGGGACTGGTCCTTGGCCTCCTCCAATCCATGAGCACCAGCGCAACCTGGGCACCCTGGTCTCGTTCCCACCTATGGACCATTCCTGGGCAGATGTGCTGTAGGTGGCCGTGGGCTCTAGAACATTCTGCTGACTCCGGAACCGTTAAGCTCCCCTTCAGTACCACCAGTACAACCCAAAGCCTCCGTGCCAGCAGGTTGCGGTTAGCTGCCGGGGCTCAGACCCTTGGGCTCTGCTGGTCTGTTTTGGTGGCTGAGCAGGGGTGTGGGTGAACACTCCCTTTGCATTGCCAGATTCAGGGGATTTTGTTAGTTAACTGGGCTGAGTGGTGACGCCCAGCTCCCTCCAGCCCATCGCAAACCTTGGGCTGAGTGCTGGGCTGCCTGCTGTGTCCTTTCTGATGCCTTTTTCTGCCTGGGTCTTCCCCAGGGGACAAGCGAGTGGTGAAGCTCTACCTGAAATCTAAGGAGACGGGGAAGAAGTTTGCCTCTGTGGATTTTGTTTTCTACAACTGCAGTGTCCATCAATCGTAAGTGGCCTGGGCTTTGTTAAGAGTGTTCCGGGAGCAGATTGCTGGGGCAGTGCGAGGCTGGGAGAGGGAGATCTCAGCTTTGTGGGTGCTGATGTTGCAAGAGGAAAGGGCAGTTGAATACAGAGGTGTTCGCAGTGGGAAACCTCCTCCTTTTGCCTTTGTAAACTGGGCCGATGACCAGAGCACCCACAGTTGGTTTGGGCGTGTGGGAACATGTAGCATCAGGGGCAGAAACTCCCTTAAAACCAGGGCTTTAGGTTTGGCAAAGCTTTGGGAGAAAAAAGCAAGTTTACTGCATTGCAGACTGTAGCAATCCATGTGACCGAAAATGCCAAGTGTCTTGTTATTCCTGGAAACAGTTAATAGGAGTGACTGGGCGATGCAAAAGGAGAAGCTTGTGTTTCCCTGCGAAGGTACCTGCTGCCCAGGCTGGCAGGGGAGTGAGCTGGCAAGTTGCAGCAGCATGGGATAGACCAGTGCTGCATGTCCCGAGGCGTCTGCCCGGGAATTTCCTAACTGGAAGGAATTGTGAATTTGCTTTCTTGTCAGGCTGCTGCACAGTCTGCTCCACGTAAGGGGTTTTTAGGCAGTTTGAGAGATGTTTGTGATAAAATAGAGGAGGTGTGGGTTATTGATGTGCTGTCTAAGCTGCGTCTGACGGCGAGGAGCTGCGGCCGCTGTGCCCGAGCGGCGGGGAGATGGCTCTGCTCTGGGCACGCCGGAGGAGGAGCTGGGGTGTGTTTGGGCAAAGAATTTGGAGCTCGAGAATGCAAGAGATTTCATTACCCTGCCAGAAACCTCCCATGGATGGTGGCGCTCTGGCTGATCAGTAATTATAGATAAGCAAATGCCGAGTGGTCTCTTCGGGATGGCTCTTTGCAGTGTCTAGCCTGGCTTGGGGAGCTCTGCTGCGGGTTGCTCCTCCGAAAGGTGAGATGTGGGTGCCCCGGCTGGTCCGTGAGCTGCGGGGGGATGTGTCAGAGGAGAGCCCCCACGAACCTTGGGCCTCGCAGGGATTTCTGCCCTGCCTGCTCTCGGCACAGCCAGCGGGTCTCGGCAGCGAGGGAGGAGAGAGTTTGCAAACTTGACTTTATCCCTCACCTTGACTCCCAGAGATGAGCTTTGTCTCCCTTCACGTCGTGTGGTTTCAATAACATGAGCTCAGCTTTGGCTCGGGCTGGCTGCATGTCATTATTTTGCAAATCAAAAAGCAGATGTGACTTTTATTTTTCTAAATGAAAGAAAGAAGGCTTTTAAGTACAAATGGCATCGGATTGGATCCAATCGGGGCTCCAGCATTTTGGTCCAGCGGGAAGAGGTGGTGAGGGAAATGGCATTTTATTTTATGTGCCTGACACAGGAGGGGAAAAAAAACCCAACACCCCCCCCCCCCCCCC